TCTGCACCATCAGCCTTTCTGAGGTCCATTGTTGGTGCTTCCCAAGCAAGCCTTGTGCCCAAACGTGCTTACTCGGCCTCCAGAAGGTCTGGTCTGCCTTTGGAAGGGCTCTGTATAGTTGCACCTCACACAGTTGTACGAGTCCATGTTGCTTTTGCCAGTCACACAGATCTTGGTGGCCTTCAACAGGCGGATGCTGGCTGCAGAGACAATGAAGTGGGAAGTTGTTTCATTGGCACTTACGTGGCTCGCATAGTATTCTATAATGCCAGTGCTTCATCTCAGCTGGTGTGTACTGTGGTATCCAATGTTCAGATAGGGTAAATGGGGGGGGGGGCTTCAGGAATCTTGGGGGGTACACTGCCTGAACTTTCACAGCTCAGCAGCAGTAGATACAAACCCAAATTCCAAAGCCCAAGAGCTCTACTCCTTCTAGGCTGGCCTGAGTCAAAGTACCCATGGCTAGCGATGCCATCTGCCCCATTCTAGGTCTCTTGAAGGAGATGAATTGCTTGGAGTGTTGTGCATATCCTATGCCTGTCTTTCAGTGCATGCATATTGGTTCTTCTTCCGGATGTGCCTAGGGATGGAATTAATGGTTCCTATGCACTGCATAGTTTGGTTTTAGAAGATGCTGCAGGCTTTAGCTTTGACTGCTTTTTTCTTTCTACAAAGACTGCCCACGCATCGGCACCAGACTGTGCTTGTTTTAACTGCACTAGGTCCATGCAGGCCATTCTTTCTCATGGGTCTCTTTCTCTATCTCTACCCTTTCCAAGTTTACTTTAAAGTGCATAACAACATCGACCAAAGACCTCGCCCTGCTTGGTGTGGGGCCAGAGCCTACCATAGCATCTCACAGGAGTCTTCTGGAGCCCTGCCCTGGTCTGTCTGGTCCTCACATAGAGCACAGCTCCCCTTGGGGCATCCCTTGACATTGCTGTGGTTACCTCTCCTACTACATTGAAAAACGTACTGATGAAGCCTGTCATTGACTCCTCTTCCCAGATAAATGGACCATTTTGAGTTTTTTTTGAGACAAGGTCTCACCCTGTATCCCACTGGAATCCAGTAAGTAGCCCAGGCTGGTCTCAAACTTGCAGCAATTTCCCCGTTTCAGTCTCCCAGGTGCTGGACTCTTGACAAAACCAAGTATAACGTTGGCAAATGGAAACCACGAGCCTAGGCATTAGGGTCCCAGGACTGGCTTGTCTAAGGAACTTACATGTTGCTTACCATATAATCCGGAGGAAATGCCAGGACTTCATGATGTCATTTGGAAGTGGATAATTAGCCGAAGCCAGAGCTTCTCCTAAACCAGGGAACCCCATCTCTTCCAGGAAGTGTGGCTGCAGAGTGTCACTGCTCCTCAGTGACCTTGCACATTTTACAACCGGCAGAGGGCAAGAACCACTCCCCCCACTTGCTGCCTGTGTTTCCTTTCAATTACTTCCAAGCCAGAGCAGCTCCCAAACTCCCATCCTGGCTTCAAACCTCTAGCTTAGTCTTGTTCTTCTGCGTGCTATCATAGGCATGAATGATCACAGATACAACTATATAGCTCTTTGGAGTCTGGCTACTTGGGACATCCATATTGTCACATACACAGAAAGAATTCTCATTGTTGAGTTCCATAGTTTCCACTCTGTGGTTCTTTTAGGCTCTTGGTCACCTGGATGCTGTTACGCACACCAGTCTTACTGTACACATCCTATGATGTGGCTTTTGGTGAATGCACATCTGTGGTCTATGCCTAGAAGCAAATTAATGAGTCCTATATCCTTCACGTTTCGGGCTTAGTAGATGCTTTGACTGATGCAGACTTACCATCTGCCCGGAGTATCCAGCTTATGTTCATCAAAATTGAAAAATCCTCTTTTTGGCAATCCTTTTTTGAACAAGTTTGAACAAGTTCCACTTGGAGGCTCCTCAAGTCCCCTGGGGTGAGACTGTGTTGCACCATCCACTCTGGAGATGGCCCTGGGGAAAGGCAAGAACACTTCCAATGTCACTCCCATTTCAGGCGCAGTCAGAAGCTCTTCCCTCCAAGTGATATGCTCCATCGCAACCCACTTCTGCTAAGGAAAGCCAGGCTTCTTCTGGATGCTGGCTGGTTTATACACCTAAATAATGTCTCTCAGCCTCGTGGTCTCAAACTCCACAGCACTTGGGGTGTTCGAGGTGCATGTGTGTGCATGTACGTGTGGGTGTATGTTTAGTGTATTTGACATGTTCATTAACGTCAATCATGCGTTCTCCATGCCTCAGTCCTGGACTCCAGTCTGCAAGCCCTCACCATAACCATTTCTAAACTGCTCCCCTCCCCTCCTGCTCACTCTCCCTATTCACATTTCTTGGACAAAACCCACTCGATCTTCAAAGTACCACGTTGGGTACCCATGTATTAAAAACTTGCTTCCTAGCCCCAACAATCAACGGTATGGCCCCTCCCACCACAATCAGCGTCCCTCTGTGGAACGGCAGGCACTGCTTCCCACTCAGCCTGGTGAGTTCCACGCTATCTGTGTGCTAATTTACTGGGAGGCCAGTCCATCTCAAACACATCCTTACATCCTTACTCCCCAAATTCTGCCTGGAAAACCTCACTCCCATTAGCAAACAAGGCAATGTATTATCACCATGTGCCTGGTCTTCCAGAACCCCCTTCCTGACTCAGACCTTCTTACTGTCCACCTGTGCTTCCAAATACCCACTCTCAAGTGCACTTACCAGGCTCAGAGCCACACTGAATAGTCTGCAGGAAAGAGAGAAACCAAATGTCATGTCAAAGCCAGCAAACCACAATGCTTATTTTACCAAATTAGGCAAAACACCATCTTTTTCCTTAGATGCATGCACAAGTGATAAATTTTCAAAGAACAGTGAGCTGGGACTTGGAGCGATGGCTCCACATCGGACAACTCGCAACTGCCTATAACTCCAGCTCCAGAAGCCAATGCCTCTAGTTTCTGAGGACATGTTCACAGGCATGTGTGCATGTGAGTGTGAACACGCACATACATGCACACATGTGCACATACACACACATGCATGCACACATGCACAGACACACACACATACACATATACACACACCTCCCCTGCCTCAGATTACTGAGGCACCTTGGCTATCTAATGTTTAACTACTGGTTTTCAGGACAGTGTAATATTTATTGATTTTTCCAAGTTAACATTTGGCTATACAAAGAGGAGAAGAAAGCAGGCAGCAATGAATGCAACCCACTGCACCTTCCCGAGGTTCGTATCATGCTTCTTTTTTGATCTAGGATTCACCTGAGCTGCTTAGAAAACCAGGGGCAATTGTTATTTCATCACAACCTCCTAAAACAGCTTCCAAAAAAGTAAAACTCATCAACGCCTAAGAAAGGCCAGTACTAAATAAAATCCCTTGAAGTTTACAAAAGAAAAGTAATGAAAAGTATGGTTCGGGCCTGAAACATTTATTCTAGCTGTTAGCAATCTTCAGCGGCAAGATGCAACGTGACCAACCCACAGGGCTCCAGGACCCCAGCTTCCTCATTTCCAAAAACCTTGTGAAGGCAGAAAACAAAGGTTTTGGTGGGACAAATTTGGTTTGGGTGAAGTCATCCATGGTCCTTTGCTTTGTGACATTCTTTTTAAACAAATGAGCCACACACTAGGAACTAAGATCTAGTTGACCGGTAGTGAGACAAGGTATAGCGAAAAGCCAAGCACCAGCGCGAACCTTCACAGAGTTCATTCGGTAGTCCTCGCAGCAAATGCTCCCAGGGACAATTTTTCTTTGGCACAGAGAGGGCAAGCACAGCAGCTGGTGGCTTGGCGACACCATATACCAGCTTTGACTTTCCCAGTCATCAGGGGGACCGAGTGCTGTGTGAACCTGGCACGGACGTCACCTGATGCCTTTCTGATGAGGAGCTTTTTCCTCTGGAACGTCTCGAAAGATTCCTTTGTTCTTGGGCACGGGAGAAGGAATGAATGCTGCCTTCAGGAATCTACATGGTCCGAGACAGATAGGAAAAGCAAGCAAGCAGACGGGTGCACTGTGTTCTGGTAACCTAGTCGGTGGGCAGAGCAGATGCGAGTGGTTCTGTCTAGTCATCCTGAAGCAGGGGGCAAGGCGTACCACCTGTGTGAGTTGAGTAGCACCCTTTTATTAAGGAGACCACTAAGACCAGATGAGCCCAAATGCCCAGGATGGCATCTGTGACACAGCTAAAGTTCATGTCTCCAGCAAGCAGTCTAACAGCAGATGCCTTCCAGGCTGGGAATAGAAGGACGATGGAGGTGCAAAGCCCATTGTGGTTATCTCAGGGGGTGCCAATCTGGCCCCTTCCAGAAGGTGGTCCATGGACAATTTCCTAGAAATTTGGGCTGACAGTCAGGGTTCAGCTAAAAGGATGGGAAACAAACAAACAAACAAACAAACAAACAGGACTCTCTCACGAGAGGGGGATGCTTACCGGCTCTCCTGGCAGGGCGCTCCTGTACATTGCTACCAGGCTCAACAGCACCAGCAACATGACCCAGCCACCGCCCACCACCACGCGGAGCTGGCGCGGGCGAGCCTGGTCCTCTTAACCAGGTGCCCGCCTGGGGCAGTTCTCTCCGGGCTCCGCCTTCTACAACACCGCCCTGCCCTAGTCGGGGCGGGCGCTGGCCTGGTCTCAGGGTCGTAAAGTGGCGGCCCTGCTGCCCGCGAGGCAAGCGGGGGTGGGCGGGGTGCGAATGAGGAAGCTTCAGAGGCGCGCGTCGAGTCCCGCGCAAAGGAGTGTGCCACAAGCTAGGTGGGGCAACCGCACCCGCGCCCGGAGCCCGTTCGAGCAGCCCCGGCCCTTCCCAAGAAGAGCACGCGACGTTGCAGGCTGCCAGTTACAGCGCAGCGGGCTAGGACTGACGGCGGCCACCTTCTCTGTGCGCCCAGCTCCTGCCTTTCGACCGACGATCGATCGTTCCGGCCCAAGTGAGGAGCTGACCCCACCCCCTTCCCCGGTGAGGACGGAGCTTCAGACTCTAGGCTGAGTGGGTCGGGAGGAGCTGGAACCTCCTTTACCCAGAAAGAGTACCAGAAAGAAAAGGGGGAGGGACTCAAGCCACCGAAACCTCCTTGGCTTCTTTGGGGGAGCCAGCGACAGAAACTTACAGTTACAAGGTAATTTTGATAGGAATCTGCACCCCGGCCGCCCAGGCTTTCTGGTTAAGTTTATTTCTATAGAATGAGGTCTGGCGGTTACATCTGGGGTCCCAAAGCTGGTCTCTCAGCACTGTGGGTTCAGAGCTGAAGTTCTGACATTTTGGTGGGCCTGCTGTCTGAATGACATCTGCCCAGCTCTCCACCTCTCAGACCTTAATTCTGGGAAGGTGGCCCAGAGATCGAACTTCTGAGGTGAAATGGCTTGAGAGGGGCCTACTCCACTGTCTTTAGAGAAGGGCTATCGAGCCTGAATTCAGCTGCTTCAGCCTATAGGAAATGGGATTACCAAGCCTGTAGATCATGGAATCTGAGGGAGCCCTAGGGCAGAAGTCCTGCTTGACTTGTCTCTCTTGAGAGGTTGAGCAGAGTCAAGCGGCTGTGATTGCTGAAAACCCTACTGAGATACAGACTCAGTTTATCTGTGGGATGTCGGTGGAGGTTGTATTTCTGATCCAAATGGAACAGGCTCAGTCCTCAGTCTCTATGGGATTGCAAGGAATAGTGTCCTGATTCCTGACCAAGGAGGTTCACAGAAGGGAGGTGTAGTCTCGCCCCAGCCTGCATCAGGACCACCCTGGGCTCCTTCCTCAACCTTTGTGAGCTGCTTGGACCCAGTGGTCCCTGGGAACATTTCTCGCTTTCATGGCGGCCTTACTGAACAGTAAACTCTTGCCGGTTACCAGGGTGCAAAGGTAAAGAGCTGATGCCTGCTCTTGGACCGAGGCCAAAGAGCCTGCTCTGAGGCAGATGCAAAGTGGAGGTGGCCTTGTTGTCCAGTTTCAGCCTGAGAATGTTGTCTCATGGGGCCGAGGTACGGGGCAGATGTTTGGAGGGCAGTCACTCTTCAGTTTTGGAAAAAAACCTGCGTGTTTGTGTGGAGCAAGTACGGGAACACTCCCTACTTTTTGCCAACATGTGTTCTTTCAGTGAGTAGCTGAGTGCCAACACCTAGCCAGGCTTGGCACTGGCCTGGCAGAACACACCCCACTGTAGTAAGCTCAGGACAAAGAGCAAGGTCTTTGGAACAGCGGCGATAGAGAGGTCAGGTCCAGGGATAGGTCTGTGTCAGCCATTTCTTGGCCCTTGAGGGGTAACGGTCCGCAGGGCAGGAGGTATTTCATCTAGCCCTGGTATCACGTGAACAGAGCAACCCCGAGTGGCTCTACCTGACCTTGGCAAAAGAAGGTGGGGTAAATATGAGGAGATGGCTTGGGATAGTGGGTATGGGGTAGTTTTGAGAAAGGGGTCAGGCAGCTAGCTGGGTTCCTGCTCTAGGAGAAGACTCTGGGGGCAAAAGAAAGAGGAAGAATGGGTGAGGTGATGGTAGGAAAGGGGTGTGGGTATGGGAGAATGCCCAGGCAAGGGGGCCAGACAACCTTCTGACCAGCCTGAGCAGTTTCCCCTTCCAAAGCCAGTGATGGCAGGGTTAGGATGTGTCAGGGCCCATGGGCCCCCGACATAGAAAACTATTTCCCCTAACTGGATCGGTATGGAGACGCAAGAAATAACCAGACACAGCTTACACCATCATCACGGAAGGGCATCTCAGGCTTCTCTCCGTGTTTATTTTATCAAACATCTCTTAATCCCCTGCTCAACCGAGGTGGATACCTCATTAATATTCTCTTTCTTGGGAACGTGGCTAGGGACAGCACCTGCACCTAAGTCATCAGCTTCAGCAAACACCTCTCCCCAGGCCATCTACATTTATAACAAAAGAGAAAGGAGTAGCATGTCCTGGCTATTGTTGAGGGCAGTGACAGGCTGGCTGCAGGTCTACGTGACCACCTCAGGTGGGGCCATGGCTTCAGAGCCTGGCTGCCACACCATATAGAAATATGGGCCTACAATCCACTCTCTCTTATTAAATTTTAACAACCCCTGTGCTTCTGCAACAGGACAGATGGGTCGCACCTGGCTTGGACAAAGTCTTCTTTCTATTCCCCCAATTTTTCCGTCTTTGGAAAGCGGCATTTGCGAGTTTTCCTGTCTTAGGCATCTGGGGAGGAGAAGCTTTAAACCTGTCATTGACTGCCAACCTCTAAAGAAAAGAGATTAGTGGAGAGAAATATACTTTGTAGGCCCTGTGTATCACCGCCACATCTTTTGTCAGGATATATCATAATGCTTTATGAATAATTATGCTCCCAAAGGCTATAGTCTCCTATTTTAAAAGGGAGTAGAATCACCTGAGTTGAAAATGTTTCTTTCACTGGTTCAGACCATCCCTTAGATCTAACACTCTCAGCACACACATCAACTCTCAACATTTACCATCACAACCTCTCTTTTAGCAATTGCCAATGGCATCAAGTCACAATCATGATTTTTTTCACACTATTGGTCAATACCGAATTTCCAATATTTCATATTTTATTTTCATATTTAGCCGGTCAGTACCAGCTCTCCAATTATCATAATTTTATATTTAGCTGGTCAGCACCAACTCTCCAATTATTTATAATTTTATATTCTTTTCCATAATTTTATATTCTTTTCGGTTACTACCGATGTATTTAGCACCACTGGTCAGTACCAGATCTTTTCCGTCACCTTATATGCAGTGTGTATACCTGTGGCCTGTGGACAGGACATCAGAGTGGGCAGTGAAAGGCAATATAAACTGGGTCCCGCAGTGGCAGATGGGGTCACCCCTAGATTAAGAGGATGTACCTGCCTATCTTCTGGAATTTCTATCCTGCCTCAGACCCCAAGCACCCTCCTCACCAGCCAGTGATCCTTGTTGATTGAACACACAGCCTCTAAGGTGATCTGCTTAGATGGACCCATGTCCATCCCTAACCCTAATAGCCAGAGACTTGGCCATGGATGTCGAAGGGCTTAGCTTCTTCTCCTGGATGTATGGCAAGCTATTGCTCTTCTCGGAGTCTCCGTTTCCTCTCGTTTCCTGCACAATAAGTGTGGGAGCCATGATGGTGAAGAAGTGAATGGAACCCGGAGGAAGCAAGCTTCAGAGCTCCTCCACATGTCGCCTTCAGTCATGTATTGAGTCTGCAGGTCTACAACAGTCATCTGGCACAAGAAGTTTTCATGTCCAGGGGCTTGGTGGGTACTCATTAACTTCCAGAATAAAGTCATGACTTCCTCCAAAGCCATGCCTAACTCTGCACACCAGGAAGATTGCTTTGGACTTTCCCCATCATGTAGGGGAAGTCCACAGTCCAGTTCAGAGCCTGGAAGACTCCTTTGTCTGTCACCCAGACTTCTAACAGGCTTTGTGTTGTCCCTGCAGCTGAGACTCCAAGATTCACTTGCTATCTCTTGGCTATGACCAATGCTCTTGGTCTCTTGGTACCTCAGTTTTCCCATGCACTTAATACACGGAACTAAGCTTAGCTCTGTCACTCTAGCAGGGCCAGCAAGGAACTCAGAAGAAGCCAGAGTCAGGAAAGCAAATTGAAGGGTTTAAATTCGCTGCACAGATGCAGAGCAGGGGACACAAGACAATTAAAAACAATTGTTTTGTTCTAATAGCTCGTGTAGCTCGTGTTCCCAAATGGGGAAATTCTTTTGGACCCATAACCGTTGTTCACTCGGCTGTGTCCATCCTGGAGAGAGGGAGGCTGTGAGGGTTGCTGACATGCCCTGAGCCTAGCTTCCACCCACACAGGTGGAATTTTCCACTTTGTTCTTTTGCAAATGTTAATCAAGTCTCTGGGCAGTTAACAGTGGATTCATTGTCTTGTGAAGTGGGGGGAGCTTGTTCTAGTGAATACCGTCGGCCTGCCAGGGCTCTTTGGTCAGCCCGAGCTGGCAAGCTGGCATAGCCAACACTGGAGCATTCTGGTCTCTGTTGCTACCTCTGCCCTGTGTTCCACTCCAACTGTTTGGACTTGGCTAATGTAATGCTAACTTTGAGTCAGAGACCCCAAGGGCCACCCAGGGCTTGCACTCCTTGATTCCCAGTATGGGTGTAAAGTTCCATATAGTCTCTACCAAAGTAGGAAGGGCTCACACACACAGAAGGACCCCCAGACTCAGGCATGATTTTAGCTCAGTGGTAATGCTACCCCAGCCAGTTCCAGGGGGTGAAGCCATGCCAGGGCACGACCTGTTTGTTCGTGGTGGCGAACACTGTCTCGTGGACACTTGTGTTGGTTTCCATGCATGTTATTCTTATATTGGGGCTTCGAAGAAAGTATAGAGAACAGAAGAAACGGGCATCCTTTTTCAGCTCAAGGCTGCACTGGAGATGGAGTCCGCCTCATAGGGATGCAAGGAAAGGCAGCTGGCACTGTGTTGGAAGTACAAAGCATGATGGGATTTTTTTGATCACTGATAGTTGGATTAACCTGTAGTTGCTATTATTATTGGTTATAGTTGTAGGGTCACATGCCGTCGAAGAGAAAATGGAATGCATCGATGAGATTAAGAAAGGGGGAGGGAGGGTAGGGTTCAGGACATGAACTGTGATCTGGGAGACATTTTCACATGCTTTGAGCTTTGTTTTTTTTTTTTTTTTTTTAATTCTTTTTAACTTTATCAGGTTTGCTTGTTTGTTTTTATAAGTCTCGTTGTACTGTCACGATGCTCTGCCTTAGCCTTGACCTCCTAAGTGATGGGATAATAGGTGTGTTCCACTGTGCTCAGCAAGTTTGCCTGCTGCCCCCAGAAAAACAAGAAACTAAGACGAAGATGGCTGTTTCTGTTTTAAAGATCTACTTATTTTTATTCCACATATGTGAGGGTTTGCCTGCGTGTATGTATATGCTTGCCTGGTGCGTATGGAGGTCAGGAGAGAGCAATGGATCCCTTGGAATTGGAGCTACAAGCGATTGTGAGTGTGTGTGTGTAGGGTCTGGGAACTGAATCCAGGTCCTCTGCAAGAAGAGCAAATGCTCTGAACCACTGAACCCTTCCAGCCCCATTTCCATTTTATAAATGAAGATGCATCCCAGAGAGGCTGCATCCAGAGTGTGGTTGCGCTGTCACCACAG